GAAAAATATTAAAAATTGTACCAGACACTAGAGGCAAAGTGGAAAGAGAGTGTGAGAGGGGAAAAGAATAGGAAAGTTGGGGGGGAAATGGAGAAGTAAGACACTTGTGGGACACAGATAAGGTTTATTATCTGTTGACGAGGTTGTGTGTGGTGGTCTCAATTAGGCTAGACTGAGGTGTATATCATGCTGGGTGAAGTCTCTTCACAATATAAATGATGTATAGTGATTTAATGTATGAATTATAATAAAAATAATAATAAAGATAGGCTTGATTAGACTTGAGCCAGTCAGCTTGTTTTTTCCAGCAGTGAACTGAATCAGAAGCAGAAAACAAACAAACAAAAAAGAAAAATTCTCCAAAAAGACTGAGAAAATAACCCCCCCAAAATGAGAATAACATACGAATAATACTAGATACCATTAAACATCCAAACATCTGGATCATTGGAATCCCAGAAGGTGAAGAAACTAATAAAGGTTTTGATAATCTAGTCCATGGAATCCTGGAAGAAAACTTTCCAAACCTAGAAAAGCACTCAAATATCCAGACCCAAGAAATACAAAGTGCCCCACAGAGAGTTGACTCAAGAAGATCTTCCCCTAGGAACATAATAGCCAGATTGACCAAAACCACAGACAGAGAGAAGACTCCTCCATTGCTGCTGAGAACTAGTGGTTTAAGGGAATAAGAGAAATGATTTTTCTACTGATAATTCAGCCTCCAACAAACTAGCTAGTGGCAGAAGAACCCTGGCCTTCACTCTCTCTGTCTTCTCATTTTTTTGTAATTTTTGCTTTTTAAAATTTTTTAAGGTAAAGTATTCTCTTGGCTTTCATATTCTCCTTTATCTTGCTAATAATCTCCTTTCCTCCTCTCCTCCAGGAGAGGCAAGGGGCAGGCCTTCAGAAGAAGGTTTTTATTTTTTTCTTTTTCAATAAAAAATAAGAAATTTTGGGGACCAGCAGTTAGCTTAATGGCTATGTCGCTGGACTCCCACATAGTTGACTGTGGTTCTACTCTCTGACCCGATGGCTTAAACTCACACTGGGCGCGTGTGCATGCGTGCCCAAGGTTCCAAGAGGAGAATGGAAGAGAAGGGATTAAAGCATGACCATCCTCCCTGGGGGATGATTTCTCGCTTTCTGTCTCTCTGTCTCTCTCTGTCTGGCGAGCACATGTGCCCTATAGTGAAAACGTCTCAAAAAAAATTAAAAAATAAAAAAATTTGGTTTTCTTTTTTCTTTTTTTCTCTCTTTCTCCCCCCCCCTGCTTTCCTATTCTTCTTTTACCTCATCTCTTTGCTGCTCAATCTGCATTCACTGAGTGTCTAGATGGACCTAAGAGAATCATAGCCAAACATCCAAATACTATTAAGGTTCAACATAGTCCTCAATACCTACTGAATCTGCTTCACAAAGGGATAAAAATGGAATGGCAAAGAGATTGCAGATCACCTCC